TCCTATATATGGTTAGGTGCAATTCTGTCCTGCTGCTCTTAACCGTGCATTTCTAACGCCACACACTCAGCCAGAGGTAAAACCAGACTTCTCTTCACGTCTAGTTTGTAAGCGGCCCAAACAGTACGCTAACCAGCAGGTAATTAATTTCTTTATCGACTTCTGCTCCCTGTGGAAGGGGAACACCTTGTTTTCCAAGAGAGAAAAAGTTTACATGCTCAGGTTAACTGCTAAACAGAAAAGGAACCTCATATGCTAAAATCAAGTTGCATCCCATTTCATTTTTTATTGCTTATATAGAACCTAACTGCATATGCCAATGTCATTTTTCCCCAGCTCTCACTGCTACAGACTTATTCACTGGAATGGAAAATGATCCTCAACCATTATTCAGGGAAAAAAAATTCTTTTCTTATTAGTTACTCAAATAAACAAATGTTGCACAACTCTGGGCTTGCCACCTTTGACAGACTTACCTCAAGAAACTGAATTCACATCGCGTTCAGACAGAAATATTCTTTCATGCAGTCTTTGCTTGTAATGCTATTTCCCTACCCATCTCTCTGCTTTCAGCTTTTTCTCCCTAATTTATTGCCTCAACAGATACCACGAACTACTCTAAGAATACATCTGCTTTGGGTAAGATTTTGTTTTAACCAGACAGTATTTTGACAGCCTGTTTCATTTTGTTAGTTGATGGCTTTCAATTTCAACTTGTTTCCATTTAAAACTGCTAATCGCTGCTTAAAAAACACCATATGAAAATGTGAATTTTGTTGAAACATCCAAGAACTGCTTCTGCTTCTGTAGTGTTCATGGAACACTACAATCCCAAACAAGTTATTTAGTCAACTAAGATATTTAGTGAAATGCCTAAATAACTACAAACTATTTCACATAGCAGTGATTTTTTATTTTTTTTTTTACTAAATTAAGCAGCATTCACTCATTAATTTTGAAGGCCATTTCCTTGCACGATTTCAGACCGCCGTCAGCCTGTCAGTGAGCTTTGCAGATGGGGAAGAAAGCGCAGAAAAAAAAAAGAACAAAACAAACACAGAATTGCCCATTTTATTCCCTAGCATCCTGTGCTTCCCACCCAGCATTAAACTACAATATAAACACGCGACTGCCGTGCTCCAGAAAAATGAACAACCCCCCCCCCCCCCCCCCCCCCCACACACACACTGAGCAGACAAGTCTCGAGTCAACTAACTCCACTCGGGATCAAAGAAGATAAATATCAACCCTACTTGGGAATTTTGAGCTTCTGAGTAAAGTGAACCTGTTACGTGCTGACAATCTCCTCCCAGTGCTAGAAAATTAAGGAAAACACGTTAAGAGAAGACACGTTCCCCTTTTCCATAGGTATGTGGAAAAGAAAAGAGGAAATTAAGTGTATTAGGTGCTTGCTAGCAAAGACGAACACATCCTGACTGCTCTGAACAAACTATATTTACAGCATCCTGATGGGAAGTCCAGAACTTGCATCTGCTTCATTTCCCATCTCTTCAGGTTAGCTACTGTAAAAATCAGCATGACAAGAATATGGTGTTTAAAAAGCTAATCAGCAAAAAATATTTAGTCTGTAACAACTTTATGGCCTAAAACTTGCTAAGGGAATTCACTCAGATATTTTGTTTTCAATTGTTAAACAAATTAGGAGATAAAAATGTTATAAAGTTATGTGTAAGTTTATACAAAAGCTTCATTTCATTTTATGCATAAAGATCCAATTTCAGACCAGAGTACAAACTAGGAAACACCAGAAGCGACTTTTACCAGATTTTTTTTTTGTTTGGAGTCAGTAACCAACAATTCAGTAAATCCTGAAATGCGATGCATGTCCAAGGGAGGGCAAAGCGGGCTAGTTAGTGGTTATTGTTGTGAAAGAAAAAGAAAATGTCTTTTCCTTCTCGTACAGGAGATAATGCCACACAATGCAAAGCCAGGAGCAAGGAGCACTCCCCGTTCTCTGATGTGCACGCATTATCCTGTAAGCAAACAGGACAAAGAAACAAAACTGTTTGACAGAATCACAGAATTATCCATCAGGCCAACCGTGTATGCCTCCCATAAAAGCTGAATGAATTAGGAGGAAGTGGGAAAGGGTGGAGCTGGCAGTCGTATTTAAACAAATGGAACAGCAGCTTTACAATCGTATCCAACTGGAGAAATTCAATCCACGTTACAAATTCAATCGTTGTTCTTAAAAATTTGTGCTGGACTTTTCCCTACATAAGATTATAGATAATGCTGAACTCTGTTTTGGTAATACGCTCAGAGTTCAACTCCACAGCAGCAACAGTCTGGCTACAAAGACAGGGCCCTTCCGAAATAAAACAGCAGCACTGAAAGGATGGCAATATCAGCATATTGCCAGTGCAAACGGCTTAACAGAGAGTGGTAAAAACTGACAACTGCAGGCGAGATGAATGAAAAAGGCCAACTATATTGAATCAACCCACTTCAGATTTTGTTTACTGAGAAGTCACATACCCAAGATAAAGTTACAAAGAAAAAAAAACAACAGTTTATTACAGCAGTAAGTGCTTCCAATTAATCTTTAAGTACTTTATTTCTTGGGTTTTCCTTCTGTTAAGGATTCTCCTGGGGCACAATGCTCAGCTACTGAATGCCTGGCTCTGTGGAGACTTCAGCGCCCCTTTGGTGTCAGCAAGGTGAGCCGTGCCGTTAACCAAAACAAAATCAGGGCCTCTGCAGTCCTCCCCGAGCACGCACTTGTCAGAATGCTAACATCCTCTTTTACACAAGTTCACCATCACGCCAGCACGTGAGTCACACGGCAATATCCCGACAGCAAAACCCGCTCAGATTTGTCCAGGTCATAGCAGCTATTCTGCATCAAATGGGCGATTATTTACACCTTATAACTATCCCTCTCTCTAAAGTTACTTAGAAAATAGCCTGCTTTCTCTCCAAAACACAGCCGGGTCTAACAGAAGCAGCAGCCCAGTCTTTCAGAGAGAAAACCAGAAGCGCAGAGTTGTGTCTCTCGCTGACTTTACAGACGAAGTAACTTCACTTTTATGTGCTTCTGTTTCCCTCCTTACCCTTTGTCAAAACTGCCTTAATCATATTTCTAGCTCGTTAGTGAAGCCTGCAAGTGAAAGACTATTCAAACACCACCTTCACAAAACAAGGCCTTAACTAGGCAAACTTGCATGAAAACTGAAGGAATTAAAAGAACAAAGGAAGTCTGTCAAGGTCAGAGAGAGAAATTTAAAAGGAATACTTAAATATTACATTTTACGCCCTCCTCACGACTGCAGTGGCTCCTGAAATGTTGGAAATACCTGATAGCACAGAAATCAACTCCCGGGTAGCGGAGTCACAAGAGAAGGTAAAAAAGAACCCAAATTCAGATCGGTTTTCAGATTACCCTTCTGCCCTGTATCCTGAATCCATCTGCCAGCTGCCACCTTGAAATCCTAAATCGCCTGCTACAGTTACTGAAACCTCGGGAGTAATGTATTTCTAGGCACCAATGAAGGCTTTTAAGCAATTTCATTATTTAAACAGGAAGGTACCTGCTAAGAGGAGCACTTTCTGCTCTAACACGGGGCTCGCAGTGCTTTACAAAAACCTGCCGACTTCCTACACGTGAAGCCAGGGGTTGTTCTTAGAGTACTCGCTCATGACACCAGCTCCACATAACATTTTCGGATCCTGTATTTCGGGCAGGATAAACACAGAACCGCTCTCAGGGCGAGATCCCCGGTATTACCGCCCTGCAGGACCCCGGTGAGCCCTGATTAATGGCAGGGTGAGCGCAAGGAAACCCAGCCAGGGATTTACCTGGATTTCTTTCCACGCTGCCTGAGCACAGCCTAACTAGGAACAGCTCTCGAGTTGGCTGAGGAGCAAAGCAGGCTGGGTTTATCAAAACACACGGTCCGGGAGTACTTTGGGACAGCGGAAGGCTCACGTTAGGAACATGTTGATTTTAAGAATGTGCTGAGGGTGAAATATAAAGGAAAAAAAAAAAGAAAAAAAGGCAACACGTGCATGCCCCTTTGGAGGTGTTTGCGGGCGAGGGTGTGCTTGGATTTTTTTGGGGGGGGGAGGATAGGGCACGCAAAATGATGAGGGGCTGGGAGAATTATTTCGCACCACGTGTTGAGATTGGGCTTAAAAGGGGAAAAAATAACAATAATAACAATAATAAAATGAGTGTTGTTTGACGGGAGATCGCCGCCTGGACACACAAAGCTGCCGCTGCCGGGTGCTGCCTCAGGGGGTCGGGGGTGCGGGGAGGGGGCGTTGGGGTGGGGGTGTGGGGTCGGGGGGGGGTCTTTACTCACTGGTTGGTGGGGGGCGCGTTGAGCGGGATGGCCACCTCCTCCTCCTCGTACTCGGGGCCGTCCAGGGAGTCGCCTTCATCCACCGCCCCCAGCGCCCCGGCCGGGGGAGGAGGCGGCGGCGGCGGCGGCAGCGGGGGGAAGGCGGCGGCGGCGGCTGCTGCGGGCTCGGGCGGCTCCGTGGTGGCTGGCGGAGGGGCGGCAGGCCCCGAGCCCACCGCCAGCAGCCCCAGCGCCGAGCACAGCGGGGGCGCGGCGCCCGGGAAGGGGCCCGGCGGGCACGGACCCTTAGCCCGGCACGGCCCCGCTTCGGCGGCGACGGCAGCGGCGGAGGAAACCGAGCCGCCCTCCTCAGCCCCAGCCCCGGCCTCGGCCGCCATCATCGTGAGCCTCGCCCCCCTCCGGCCGCGGGGAGGCGGCGACAAAAGGGGCCCCGCAGCCGGCACCGGCCCCGCCCCGCCGGGGCGAGGCGAGGCTGAGGCGAAACTTCCCCGGTGGGGACGGGACGGGACGAGGCAGGGAGGGAGGGAAAGGGGGGGGGGGGGGGGGGGGGGGGGGGGCGGCCGCTCAGGGCAGCTCCGCGGGGCGCCGCCGCCTCCGCTTCATGCCGCCTCCCTCCGCCTTCCACACGCCCTCAGCCCGCCCCCGACCGACGGACGGACCGACGGACGGACAGACAGACAGAGGGAGGGAGGGAAGGAGGCGGGCATGGGCGCGGCGCGCATGCGTCCCCCTACCTCAGCGAGCGCGTGCGCGCGGTGTGTGGTGTGGTGTGTGTGTGTGTGAGAGAGAGGGTCGCCTCGCCCAACAATAAAAACCCACCGAAACGGCCCCAAAATTAATAAATTATGACGTAAAAATGTGTTTTAGTTGTTATTAGGGGAAGGGGAAAATGGAGGGGGGGGGGGTTCTGCTGTTTGACTGGGTTGGAGCGCCTCGCCCCGCCCCGCCGCGCCGTGAGGAGGCGGTGGGAAGGCGCTGAGGGCGGCCCGCCGGGGAAGGGGTGAAAGAGGGGGAAAGTAATAAATAATTTAACCGAAATGATTTAAAATAAATGAGTAAGTAAATAAAGGGCGGGGAACAGGGAGGTAGGTGGAGCTGGGGTCCGCTGTGAGGGGAAAGGAAGGCGGGAGGAGGGGGCTGCCCGGTGGGGCGGCCGCTCGAAGAAAATTAACAATTTTTCACAGAAAATATATAAAAAAAAATGAAAATCCTCGTGGGTTTTCCTCTTGGAAAATCCTGCAGAGATCGGGATTTCCAGCAGCGAACAAAAAGTGCTTGCTAGAGTCTGCGAGGCGCTGCGCACCTTGTAGGGGTTGTAGCGCCGTTGATACTAAAAGGCATTTACTCAGCACTTTCCTGAAGTTATACTTTTCTTCTTTCTTTTTTCTTGCTACCCAAGCCCACAGCCTCTCACACCCACAAGCCTATCTATCTTCGTCATTAATGGTGCTGCTGCCTGTGGTGGGCTTACTTGGCGCTTCAGATTCACCGCACGGGAAAGTACCTCTGTGATCAAGAGGACGTTGTGCGACAAACATTACCGGGCACTGTAATGTGTAGGTATCTTTTGATTTTTTTTTTCTTCTCATTTTTTTTTTTCTTCCCCAGTAATAAAAGAGCTGACAAATAGCAGCACGTTGACACTTGTATGTCTCTCAAGAGTTCTCAGAAGGCATCTAAACATTCAGGTTTTCAAAGCTTTGCATTACCCAAAAGTATTAAGTGAATTTCTCCCGAGGCCACTAAAACAAACTACTGCTCCCACTTTCACAGCTCTCCCGCCAACCTCTTTTTATCTGCTGAGATGAAGTTTCATATCTTGCCTTCTAAAGGCAAAATTTGCTTCCAGTTAGACCACTAATATCAGTGGAATTATGCTGGGTTTGTGCCCAGTGTCAGCGCAGGAGCTGGCTTTAGCCCTCATTTTACAGAATGGTAGCACATTTAGACCCTGCTGTTTCCCTGTTTAAGAAATTGCAGGTTCAACAGCGATCTCTTACAGTTTTGATTTTTGCATTGCAGCATTTCAGTATTGTGTATGTAATTCCAAATAGTCTTGAAGCCTACTGTCTCTGCGGGCTTCCACTCTGTTTGCTTCCCCTCACAGATCTTTAAATAAAACGATTTTAGCACAGTCTTTTTGCTGTTGTGAAGTGATATTCCTAAATATAGAACTGCAGTGTAAATATTTATAAGATTGCCTTAATGAGGCTGGCTTTTCTGGGTGCCGTCAAGGGCAACAGCATGTGTGCATGGGTGTGTGGGGACTAGGACAGCTGTCCTAGGAATTTCCTGCAGGAGGGGGTAATCTAACTGCAGCACTCCTTCAAGAGATTTATTTTGGGGAGAGCAGTTTTGAACTTGGCAAGGATTCCACAGAAAGAGAACTTCATGTAAGATCAGCCGAGTTGTTGCATCTCTGCCACTGACACACTGCTGCTCTGCACTTTGCAGGCAAGGTTTTCTGTCCCAGGTCTCTTGGTGCTGCAGTAACACACACAGCTTCCTGCATCAGCTCGTAAGGAAAGTTGATTTCCAGGCTTTGGTGTGGCATTATTTAGATATATTTTGGTGAGGGAACAAGTATAATGGTATTTTTCTTAATGCTTCTTGTGGATTTACAAACCTGTTGTTCTGAAGTTCTGGTACAAATGATGCCAGGATGGTTACTTCTTCCTTCCTTCTGTGAGCAATGTCAGGCTGGATTCTCTGAGGAGTGTATTTGCATACACCCTAGAGTCAGTTTGTAAGGTGGCAAATCTAGAAATACACACAATTTTTTTTCTCTGATGGCTGGTAGGTCTGGTATCCCTCATCTCTGGTCTAGTCATGAAGTAGCACAGCAGAGGCTGATTAGGGCTTTTCTGGTCTAAAGACCAGTATGTAGAAAGGCCAAAACTGACACTCACACAGCAAAATGCATTGCTGCACACATGTTGATGGATGCTGCCATTCATTATTGGTGATGCTCCCCAGTAGTACTCCCTCTCCCTGCTCACTTATCTCTTTGTTTAGAGTAGGTAAAATTATTAGCAGAGGATCCTGCCTGTGGAGGACATACACAGTGTCTGCCTGTGCTCCTAAATAAAACAGATTATTGCCAAGTGCTGAGGTGGGATGTCTGGACAGTGTAGCCTCCTCTTCTGTCACACCTCCAGGCATGCCACTGGCAGCCTGAGGAGCTGGTCAGCATTCGAGGTGCTGCAGGGACCGTTCCCAGCAGGCAGCTTGCATACAGCCACCCTGGCGTGGAGACCGAGAGAGTTCCTCTGCGGCATCAGGGGCATGCCACCCTGTGCCAGCTGGCTTGATTGCCCATGTGTGTGCACAGGGCCACTTAATTTGCTAGCGTTGTGTAGATACAGACATACCTTGCTGCTTTTTTTATTCATGATAGCTGGTGCTCAAAGTCTTTCATAGATCCAGTTCATACTGCACAGATTGTGGGATCCAAAGCCATATCTTCAGATGCAGTAACAGACGAATGCCAGTGGCATCAAGTACCTCCTTTGAATTATGTTACCTAATCAGCATCCTGGGTTTATAAAAGCTGCTTGTGCACTACCACGCATACACAAGTGGGGCTTGTGTAGTAACAGGTACACAGGAGTTGTGGCAGCGGTGGCATGTTCCGGTCAGCTGAACATACGGTTAAATCCTCAAGAGTTTTCAGGCTGGATTTGTTGCTAATTTAAATGCATGGCCCTATAATGTGTACAAGGTTGCACTTTCTTCATCAGTAAAGAGAGAAGTCATCTCACAGATGTGTCAGAGGATTAACTTTGTTGGTGGTGGTGTGTTTGTTTGTTTTTTCAACATTTGAAAAATAGTGAGAATTAATTCTTATTAGGATGAAAAGTCACGTAAAGTGAATGACCCAGTATTTCAGTCACATTATTTATAGAGATGTTACTTGAATCATTGATAAGAGTAAGCACTTCGTAACTTTCACCCTTACTCCTCGCTCCAGCACACACCTGCTGCTGTCCTCTACCAGAGCACAAATTATTTCCACTTTTACAAAGTTGTTATCCTGTCTCAGAAATTAATAGCAACAATTTTTCTGTCCCATGATGCAGTGATAAGGAAACAGCCTCACCATAAAGAACCCAGAATGCTCCAGCTGTTCCAGATCTTCCCCTCATGCTCCCACAGCAAAATAATACACGGTCTAAGAGTTGGTGCTGGCTCTTCCTATGTACGTAGCTGTTACAACTACATAGGAAGCTATATATGTTGCTGGGAAGTTGGGAAGGAGGGCAGAATCTGGAATACAACAACCCTAATACTGATATATTTATGTCCTGTGACTTAACTGCTTTTCTTTCATCATGTTTGCTTTTTATTTTATTTCTATCAAATAAAGCCGACTGTATTTCCAGAAAAATGATCGTAAGGTTATCATTGATCTGCCGTCATCACTATCTGCATATTTAATTTCGGGGTCTGTCAGCTCTGCCATTTTCATGGTACGAATCAGAAGCTTCTGTTTGCATTGAATATTTCATTTGTATTGAATCTCAGAGTAGATTACTATCGATAAGCTTATTTTAAAATTCTTTCCCTTCACTTTAACAGTGCAACTATCTTTAAATGTTTTTTTTTTGTTGTTGTTTGATGACTTCCAGATTATTATTGATCCATGCAAGAATATTTTTGTCACATGGGAAATGATCTCCTTCAAAGTCCAAACTGTTCTATAACCTTTTGTCCCTCCTCACTTTGTTCTTGTATAGTTTGATGTGCTTTCAAATGAGTTTCTAAGCTGGAGTTCAGATACACTGAGCCGAAATAAAAACTATAATCTCCAGAGCTGTAGAAACTGCATCCTATTTTAAGAGTAGTATCTCTTAGGTTTCAGAATTGATAAAGAAATTAGTACTTGATCAGTACCTATTTTTTTTTTTTTTTGGTCTCTTAAGCAAATGCAAAAAGACATGAACAGCTACATATTGAAGTAAGTGTTTTTATTAGTACATGATACTGTTTTTTCTTTATTATTATTTATATATATATATATTTTGATCTGTCTTTCAAAATGGCTTTAAAAGGTTTTGTATAGTTGTAATTTTTCACTTTCTCTTTTCCATTTTAGAACAGCACCATAGGAGACATAGGTTTTTTCTTGTCTCACTTCAGGCTGCATCTGGAAGAGAAGTATTTTTTTTTCTTCTTTTTTTCCCTCTAACATTGCATATTTCATGGTTTTGATGTTCTAAGTAGGAGTGTGGTATTTCAGTACCTTTTTATGAGCCCTCAGTGCACGCAGACAATCTTTTTCCTTTTAGAAACAAACTGATATCACAGTTTGATACTCAGCCTCAGCACAACATGTTTTTGAGCCTTAAACCTCATGTTAATTAGTACATTGAAGCTCAAAGTCTTCCTGTCAAATCTTGTTCCTTGCTGTACTGCATGGCAGTACTTCTACTCAGTTGTCCTAGTCATGATCATTGATACTTTTGCTACATTTTATTATTTGCACATCCTGACAGATTTTCTCAGAACATGTTGTGTTGTGTTTTTTTGTTTGTTTGTTTGTTTGTTAGTTTGTTTTCTTGACAATTGGCTTTGGAAAACATAAAATTTCTGTGCTGTACTATTTAAGCATTGTACAGAACTTAATAATTTAATCAAAGCGTAGTTATTTTGCTGTTAACTTCTTTAAATCAATTTATTTTGTTTGAGTATAATATACTGGTGCCACTATATATATTTTAACCCTAGTTATTCCTATATTGTCAATGAATTTTCAAAACAACATGTATTTGTACTGTGTTTTTCTGTTTCTTAGATTTCTGGTTTTGGAGCACTTGCCGTCTTCTAACATATAAAATGTTTGTTTGTGACATGCGTGTGGAAACATACACACTTCATCTTGGGTGATATAGTGTATCAGCAACTGAATTATTCAAAAGTAACCATTTTAAGCAAGAGTGAGACCCTTTAGTATCTCTCTGGAGGCATTGCACAGCCTCCTGGGCACACCTCGGCCTGCACTAACAGTCAGAAGCTCTTACTTTGGTAAGTCAGTGCCCAACTTTTTGTTCTTTCAGAGCTTCTACAGCGATGAACCAGATGATATATTTTTTTCTCCTTGAATCCTAACAAAGTGCTGTGATCATAAGAACTGTAATGGCTATAACTTTTTTAGTATGCATAGCATAAGAGAGTCGGGATAAAATCAAATTGCGTGAAATAAAAACAGTGAAGTAGTACATCAGACTATTCAAATTGCCCTAATTTCAGTCTTTTCCTGTGGTCAAATACTTTTCTGCACTTCTTTCTGTGTCTGAGAAAATACATATTCACTGGTGTTCCTTGCTACAGTTTTTTAGCACGTTGCAGGATTTTACTTTCAGAAAAGCCACCGTGGTTTAACTTGAAGATGCATTTTGCCTGCTAAGTTTCGACTGGTATGCTAACACTTCACATATACCTCCCGCAGTAGGTGCTTTAAAAATATCCACAGATAATGAAAACTTCCCTGGTTCTTCTTATACCTCCAAGATGCAACTGTAACTCCTCGATAACTGTTAGCTTGCATCTAGCAAAATGTTTTGCCAAAAGCAGTATGTTTGAGAGATCAGGCTCATCGGTTCAAGACAGAGCACAGTCAAATACAATTACACCTGCGCTGGCTTGTTCTCAGAGCATTGTACTGTGTTTTACACAGTCTCGGGTCAGTACAAATTTTGAATTCCGAGTGTTGTGTTTTAATTTATTGACATCTGAAAATACATGAGCTAGTCTGATCAGATTGAAACTGATCGGTAAGGAGAATGTGAATGGCAGGTCATGTATCTGGCATTAACAAGGAAGGCATTTGCTACCTATATACTCTAAGTGTGTTATAAATGGAAAAAATATTAAAAAAAAGATTTTAAAAAGAGGTTAAATATGAGTCACAGAGGTGGTGGCATGTTATCTCAGCACACAGGAGGCAACAGGGAGTGTACTTTTCATATAATCACATGGCCGCTGCCCCTTTCTACCTGAAAGAGATCAGCAGCTGCAAAGGTGTAAGTGGACATAGGGCTGGGAAAACAGACCAGCCATGAAAATAGTCTATTTTTCCAAAGGAAATGTTGTTGCAAGCGTCAAATCACAGTAACAAACTACAAAACAAATAAAAAATTTAAGAACATTTATTTTATTTGCTCTGAAGAACTGCTTGTGATTTTCTGTGTTATTTTTCATATGTCTTTTTCCTCATCAAGACGCTATCTGATAGATTGTCTTTTATAGTGTAAAATAGATAATTAACCAGAACCAGTAATGTTCACCTTTCTGAGGACTAAATTTTATGTCCCTGAAGGACCATGAAAATACACACTTAACTTCAGTAGCACAGGAATGAGAACTACATAAATACTTTTTGTCTTACTTCATGGTTCTTTAATTCCATATTGTTGTGCATATTTAAGCATGAGAGACGTGTGTTTTTTTACTTGTCTATATTTGTAATTTATGCCTTCACATAAAGACAGTACAGGTTTTCTCCTGAGCCTATAGGCATTGAACTACTCAATTTGTAGACTTACTGAACAGCTACACTATTTTTTATTCCACACTAACAGTTGTCTACATTTTCAGAAGCTGATTTGTTAGTTATTAACTTTTTCCAGGAGAAGACACAAAGACTGAGTTTCAAAAGACAAAAAAATATGTATATATTTTTCCATTTTGTGTTTGAAAATATTTTGCATGTAATAATTTTCTCTGCTTTGTTAATTACAGCTCACATCCATAAAGGTTCTCAGTAATGAATGACCTTGGGTTTATGCAGCATATCTCTGACTGTCAATAGACAAAAATTTACACATCGACAAACATCTTTGTATTTTTGCAGCTGTTTAGGTATCCTTTGGATGTTTGTATAGGTGCTTTTACAGGAGCTGGAGAAAGGAAAAAAGTCTGATAAGAATGAACAAACAGGAAAATGTGATTATACTCATAATACCTACAGAACTTCCTCTCAGACCCATTATGTAACCTGTGCAGGATAATTCCAGCCGTTGCGTGGGGGACAGTCTTTCATTTCAAGCTGGGGCAATTTTTCTTGCTGTTTACCCTGAAACTGTTAAACAAATATTTAATCACAGTATTGAAGAGTATATCTTCTACATTAATTTCAATAGATTAACTACTCAGTTTGTGACTGCTAGTTGCAGTGACTTAATATAAGATACCTACCTATGCCTTGTATTTAAATTAAGGATATTTCTGTCAAATACAGGTAACAGGTATTCATGTAAATTAAATTTTATATATCTGTAAGATCAATATATATATATATATATGGGTAATATGTATTACTCAGCAAGGCTCATTATCTGCCTTTAAAATAGGAAATTGTATCCTTGCTTAATAGAATAATTCAAATGTAAAAAGAGTATCTGCTTCTAGATGCAGCTTTAATAAAGATAACAAATAGCTATATACTAGTCTTTTCAAAGAGTATTTATATCATACAGCTAATAAAATAACACAGCAGTGGAAAGTATTTATCTTTTAGTTCCAAATTTTCACTTCAATTTCCAGTTACCAAAAAATTGTAATCAGCTCTTTTGACCTGATATTTTTAAAAGAATGTCTTCATGAACATTGCTGTTGAAAACTGGAAAAAAAAAAAAATCGGGAAAGGAAGAAGTTCTAGTTCATGCAAGATATATGAATTTAGTCATTATATAGCTAGATCTAATTTCATGGACATCAGATCTGCATAAAGCCAGTAATTTTTTAAAAAGGGCTGCTCACATGGTGCTGACAAAATGTGTGTATACATTTACTGACTGTATTAAAAACAGTATTTGCATGTAAGGCATACGAAATATATTTGCAAAATGGGTAACGGTGTCTGAGGTCATATTTGCACATCTAAAGTATCCATTCTGTATATGGAGATTTCTACTTCCTTATGGAATATGTACTGACATGAAACAAGTTTCTTAAGTATTACACTGGGTTAGTTTAGGTGTCCTGTTCATCTGCCTACAGCTCAGTTCCTGTAGGTTCTCCATCCCAGGTTACATTTTTCAGTTGTGAAATCTTTGTAAATTAGAAAGAGGAAAAGCTAACATCCACTGTGCTAAAGGGAACTTTTAGCTATTTTTGTTGTGGGATATATGGAGGTAGGTATGCTTAACTCAGACACACTGTATTAATCACAGAAGTTACTAAGTGAAATTCTATGGCCTGCATTACATAGTTGCCCAGCCTGTTAACCTTTCTGACTCTATAATTTTTTAATCCACAAATACAGTTTTTAAATAGCCCATTTGTTATTGTTTCTGTTCTAGTTACTGCTTATGATAGTATTAACTTGTATAAAAGCTATTGGTTTAAGCTATTTGAATGTCTATTATGGAGTTTGAAATAAGTTCCACAGTCAGACACTGAAGAACAGGAACATAAATATTCCACCGGTTTACTGTGTATTCCAGAGTATATATAGCTTATACTCATTCCTGAGTATACATTGTATACTGGTATATACTTATTCTAGAGTATTCCATAGCCTATACAAAGTGCAAAGTATGTATAATTCTAATAGCTCATTCCAGAGTAGCATAAATACAATGACAAAGCATTTTCTGTTTCCGATGGATTTTAGCCACTGGTGGATAAAATGCTAAAAAAGTGTCAAAAAGATGTTAATAGCTGTCATCCCATTGTTCTGTTTAAGTCAGAGGTATCTGAGAATCTAATAGTAATAGTGAAATCACTGGTGAAGCTAATTACTTTAAAAGGGGCAGAAGTCTAATATATATATTCTTCAATATGACATTTTTGATGATTAGAAGGATGGAATGCTCAAACAGCATCCGAGGTACCACATCTGCTACATAAGCACAATTATTTTAGCAGGAGTTAGCAGTTAGTAATAAATAATATTAATTAAATTAGACGTTTAAATTGTAACTTATACACACTGATTATATTTAACCAAAGATTTTGGTAAGATGTGCTGGTATTTAGTTAGTTTATCTGCTGCTTTTGCAGTCTCCTCTGAATGTCTTTAAAACTTTAATTGACTAAGTGCAGTTTGCAAGGATATCCGTATCCTTGTATTCAGCAATTATACATTGATTTTTCTATCTGTATATATTTAGAAACGTGAAGGTGAAAACACTTAGAGAATATGCCAGTCAGATTACATAACAGGAAGACACAAAACTTTATATTCTGAAAATGTTACCATTGCAAACGGCAGTACATGCATAGCATTTGCATTGCAACAGGAGCAGAGACTCAGACAGCAAGCAGGGGGAGGCTAAATGTTAGAATTCTTATATTCCAACTAATTAGAATTTGCAGTGTACAAAGTTAGGAGGAGTTTGTAAAACCAGGACCCTCCTTAACACACTGTGGTGGTTTTACTCATCTGGGCAGCCAAGCTCCACCACAACCGCTCTCTCACTCCCCCTTCTCAAAGGGAAAGGGAAGAAAATAGGATGCAAAGGGCTCAAAGGTTGAGATAAGGACAGGGAGATCACTCAACAATTATCATCATGGGCAAAACAGACTCAGGACGAGTCCCCCACGGGTGGGCAGCAGCTCCCCCCAGACCCCCTGCTCCTGCGTGGGCTCCTCTCCACGGGCTGCAGCTCCGGCCCGGGGCCTGCTCCTGCGGGGGCTCTCCATGGGCCGCAGCCTCCTCCAGGCCACATCCACCTGCTCCACCGGGGGCTCCTCCACCCATGGGGGGGCTGCAGCGTGGAGATCTGCTCCATGTGGGACCCATGGGCTGCAGGGGGACAGCCTGCTCCACCAGGGGCCTCTCCCTGCACAGCCCGCAGGGGAACTGCTGCTGCCTGCCTGCAGCACCTCCTGCCCTCCTGCTGCACTCACCTGGGGGCTGCAGGGCTGGTGCTCACTTCTCACTCTCCCAGCTGCTGTAGCACAGAAGATTTTTGTTTTGCCCTCTCTTCAGTCTGCTCACCCAGAGGCACAACCAGCATCACTTACAGCCCAGCTCTGGCCAGTGGCGAGTCCCTTTTGGAGCTGGCTGGAGCAGGCTTCTCTCTGGCATGGGGCAGCTGCTGGATTCTTCTCACAGAGGCCACCCCTGTGGCCCCCCACTACCAAAACCTTGCTGTGTAAACCCAATACACAGAAGTAATAAGCATATTGAAGAAGATGAAGTCCCTGCATCAAGAGAACCTAGAGTACATGATGTAATGACCATAGTCTATAACACCAAGGAAGCAAGCAGTTTAACAGTACTTCATAATGAAGAGGAAGCAGATCATCTAAATATAGTCCAGTTTGCTTTTTGAGAGGCTTTGTTTTCTGAGAAAAGAAGCTTGCAACTGAAAGAGTGCTATAAGCTAAAAGTAACTCTGCATTTGCTGGTTAGGTGAAGAAAGCTTGCAGTGGACGCTCAGCGTCTCTCTGATATGGAGGATAATAAATTGGAGATTTTCCTCTGGGTTTTGTGAGACAAGCTGTAGCCTATTTGAAACAGCTGCAGTAAAACAGAAGCTGTTTTCTCTCTAGGGAACAAAGGACTCTGGCTTGTGGCTGAATTCATGCAATATGATACTCATCTCAAATGGAATAAAGTTAGTTTGGCAAGTTTCATACAAGATTAAAGGTAACTTTCTAATGGAATTAGAGATGGTAGTGAGAGTGGGTCTTTACTAGTGCGTATCCATGTAGGATTTTGAGCCTACTGCTTCTCCGTTTAAAATCTGTTTTTCCTTGTGGAAAGCAATCTCTTTTTAGTGACAGATTAGGTCATGTTATGCCTGCACAAGAAAACAAAGTTGTCCCTTCTCACTAACAAAGGGTGCTTCTTAATGGTTGTGCCTCTGAGATGTGTATGTGTAGAGGCATTGTGCATGGCCACATCACCTCCTCCTACTACCTCCTACCCATCATTGTCTTGCCTTTAAATGTCTGGCAATTTCATGACTCAAGTTAAAGCATATGCTAATCTAAAAAGTTATGGGCATGTGTGTATGAGAGATTTATAGCATTACACATGATACTGTTCTAATCTGCAACTTAAGTATAGCTCACATTTCTGTAACTAGATTTTCCTCTGGAAGATTTATGCTTGTGGGAATGAAAAGTAATTTGCATTGAAATAAATTTTGTTTAGTTGCATCTGTGCCAAACTTTCTAGCAATTCTGCTTTTACCTTCCTGTTCTGCTTTCTCACCCTTCGAAACACTTTACTGTCCTAACCAGCTAATCCACCTATTATTATCACCTCTGTTGCCCAAAAACTAGTACACCTGGACAACACAAATGTCTGACATGATGTCCCTGTCTGTCTTCTGGGATTTGGCCATAGTCTGCCTTTTTCTGTTCTACATGGCTAGAAAACACACTACTTTAGATAGACCAGTACTATACATTACCTGAGCTAAGATCATGGATTGTATCAGTATAGGAAAAAGTGAAAAAAAATCCTAGGTATCAGATACAAAAAGTGTGATGCATTTGAGAGTACTGCCATAGCAGTAGATGAGCAAGATTTCAGCTGATTTGCTACGCAGTGCCCTAGTTAAAATAAGGTGCTGACAAGAAAATTCAAAACAGCTAAGCAATTCCATAAGCAGCAATTTCTTCTGAATCTCTGTTGTACATTCCTATGTCACCCGCATTTTCCCTCATAGAATCACAGAATGGTTTGGATTGGAAGGGACCTTAAAAGCTATCTAAACCCTCCCCCCCCCCCCCCCCCCCCCACACAGGCAGGGACACCTCCCAGCAGTCCAGGCTGCCCCCAGCCCCATCCATCCTGGCCGTGGGCACTGCCAGGGATGGGGCAGCCACAGCTCCTCTGGGCAGCCTGGGCCTGGGCCTCACCGCCCTCAAAGTGAAGAATTTCCTCCTAACATCTAATCTAAATCTCCCCTCTTTTAGCTTAAAACTATTACACTTCACCCTATCCTGACGCCCCCTGACACAGAGTCCCTCCCCAGCTTTCCTGCAGCCCCCTTTAGGCACTGGCAGGCTGCTGTGAGGTCTCCCCGGGGCCTTCTCTTCTCCAGGCAGAACAACCACAGCTCCCTGAGCACAGGCTCCAGGTGGGGTCTCACGAGAGCAGAGCAGAGGGGGACAATCCCCTCCCTCACCCTGCTGCCCTCACTGCTGTTGGTGCAGCCCAGGGTACGGGTGGCTTTCTGGGCTGCCAGCACACATTGCTGGCTCATGTCGAGCTTCTCATCAACCACCACCCCCAGGTCTTTCTCTTTCTTCATGGCTGCTCTCAATCCATTTTCCCTCCAGCCTGTATCTGTTCTTGTGATTTTCCCACTGTGGGTGCAGGACCTTTCACATGGCCTTATTGAACTCCATGTGTTTTGCACAGGCCCACCTCTCAGGCCTGCCGAGGTCCCTCTGGATGCCATCCCTTCCCTCCAGTGTGTCAACTGCACCACACAGCTTGATGTCTTCGACCCCACTGTTCATGTCACCAACAAAAATGTTAAATGGTGCTGGTCCCAATACTGACCCCTGAGAATACCACTCATTATTGATCACCTGGACATTGAGCCATTGACTGCAACACTTTGAGTGTGACCACCCTGCCAGTCCGTCTATCATATTCATGTCTCTCCAATTTAGAGACAAGAATATCATGCAGGACAGGGTCAGATACTTTGCATGAGTCCAGGCAGGTGATGTCAGTTGCACTTCCCCTAACCATCAGTACTGCAGCCCCATCATAGAAGGCCACCAGATTTTCCAGGTGCAATCTGCCCTTAGTGAAGCCATGTTGGCTGTCACCAATCACCTCCTTATTTCCCATATGCTTTAGCAGAGTTTCCAAGAGGATCTGCTCCGTGATCTTGCCAGGCACAGAGGTGAGACTGACTGGCCTGTAGTTCCCTGGGTCCTCCTTTATTTTCCCTTCATCATCACCATCTCTTCTTTTCTTCCCTTCACTAAATACTGCCTGATGAAGAGGCAGTATAAAATATAGCTGATTCCAAACTAAATGCAGACTTTTGGTTGCAAGACATATGTAGAACAGTGATAGACCAAGAAACAAGCTGAACTTGATGGCTTTCTCAGTAAGAAGAGGAAGAAGGGAAGTTGCATTTTGGAGTCTTTCAACTTACCCAAATTTTCCTAAGTCTTGTTAAAATTAATTACTCCTGAGACCTGGTAAAAAATGGGTCAACGTTGGGCCATTAGGTTTAAAAATTGTTGGAGGAGTAAGACATTTTCCCTCAGTATCTCGCACACACAGTATGATCACATTTTTCTTTGAAAGCAAAGATGAAAAGACTGCCTTAGTGTAGAAATAATGTTTATAAAGCATGATGGATACTATCATTTGCTTATGTGGTATGTGCATGTTTTTAATCCTTTAAGAACTTAGTTATTGCTTTATTTTATCAAGAAAATATCATCAGTCAGTTAGCAAGTTACCTTTTATTGTCATCAGATACAGGCTATTGTGTTCAACAGAAACTCCCATTTGTGTTTCTTAAGCTTAAAAATATTAAGAATACTGCACCAATACGAAAACTTTATATTGGTGATGTGTCACATGAAGTATTTTATAAGTTGGTAATTTCTAAGCTCCTGAATTGTCAAAACTGAGGGAAAAACATCCATAATAGTAGCACATCTTTAGACCTACCACAAAGTACAAGAAATTACATTTTGGATTAAAAGAAAAAAAGCCATATTTGATCTGTAGGAACTGCATGTCTCTATCTCCCTCTCTTAATTATGTGAATATGCATGCCTTCCAGCAATCCAGAACATCGCCATTCTCTTGTGTAATAACAATTCAGGCCAAAACAGACCCAAGCCGGGAAGGCAGGATTAGGGTTGCTCATCTGTGTTATGAGGTCCATTAGCATATTGGTCAGTGCCAACGGGAAAAAAAGAGTGAAGAGAACTATGGTGCTCTTAATTATATTCAAGTATCTTTACTTGTATTTTTTTTTTTTCACATCTTCTTGAGCCTTCATAAAGAAATATGTATTTCTTTTGCTCTTTCATTGCGTGGATTAGCAAAATCTCCTTCAATCTCAAGTCCTTTAGGACATGAAGTAAACCAGCCAGGAAAGCTACACTTACTTTATGCCACACTAGCTACTTTTTTTAATTCAAAGACAGACCCCATGACCTACACTGCCCTTGTGTTTTCCTTATTTGAAATGAAGAACAGCACATACATAATCAAATGTGTCCTGTATAGCAATCAGGCAGTAACCTACTAATGATGGTCTCTCTGAGGTAGGGTGGTTCCATACCATAGTTTCAAACTAGATGGGAGAAGACATAGAAAGGGGTGCATCTTTGTTTCTAAAAACAAAACAAAATGAAAACAAACAAACAAACAGGTTCTGTTAAAAATAATTTGTAGTAACATTTTCCTAATTTTTTATTGCTACAGAAGTTTAATAATGCAGACTGACTTCTTAGTATCCAGACCTTGAAAACCACTGATACAAACTGCTGCTCACTGTCTTACTTTGTTTCTGA